TGATATTAACATCAAACATAATTTCTACACATTTGTTTTGGATTTACTAAAAGCACATAGTGCATTAAAATTATTAAAGAACTAGGGGGTATAAATCCATATAAATCTATAAAACAATCAATAGAATAAATGTATCTATAACCCCAATTAGACTAGGGAAGGCTTTTAAAAGTATTAACATTTTTTTTTCTATAAAAAAGGAGAACTGGCCTATATACTAGGAGAATATGGAAGACAATTAACCTCCTTGCCAAGTTGACAAGGACAACAAAAGGCAAGTTTCTTATTATATGGCATTTGTTGGTAATAAAGTTGGCCCAACCTTTGGTGCCAATTAATGTCTACCAAATCCTTTTGTTGGCATTTGCCTAAGACTGAAGTTGAAGACAAGATAATTTGGGCTCATCATAGAGATGGAATCTACACAGTTAAATCGGTATATCAATAGAGCACGGGTGCTGGCTCAGGATGATCATCAGGACATGAATGTTATGGTGGCTAATAGGAATCTTTGGAAAGGCATTTGGAGTTTGAACACCATCCTAAAGGTTAAGAACTTTATTTGGAGGGTTTACTGTAATGCTATTGCAGTTAATGTTAAAATAAATTGTTAAGAACATCATCAAGACATATCCCTTCTAGAACCTCAAACCAAATTCCAACTATCTGGATTCCTCGATCCTAATCAAGGAACCATTAAAATAAACTATCTGGATTCCCTCCTGAAAGCTTGTAGGATTAGGAGTCGTAATCCGAGATGAAAACGGTTCCCTCTTAGGAGCTGTGGGACAAAAAACGAAATGTTTGTCGGTAGATGATGTAGAGTGCAGGGCACTGAGACTAGGAGTGTTGGAAGCTTTAAGATGGGGTGTTCCAAATTTTTAGGTGGAGTCTAATGCAATAGAGGTTGTTCACTGATTCAACAACTGGAATCCAAATATGAGGACGGCAAGTAGAGTGGTCATCGACGATACAATTCACCTCCTAGAGAAAAATACCAATTCCCATGGTGCAAATGTATGGTTTGAAGTTTCAACCTCCACTTTGTACTAGGTTTTGTAACATGCACGGTTGAAAACATCTTTGCAATCTCAAAGTGTGAAAAGTGAAACAGAGAGGATTAAAAAGAATACCCCTACGTCAACCTCTGGAGGTTGACAACATGCACGGTTGAAGACATCTTTGCAATCTGGAGGTTTCTTAGTAACCTCCAGTCTCTCTCTCCCCCACTCTCTCTCTCTCTCTATGAGAATTCGAAGAAACCCTTCTGGTAGCTTCGACGTCAACCTATGCGAAGCCATGGCTCGAATCCCATTCTTTCATGCCTTTTTTTTCCTGTTTCGTTTCCCTTGAGTTGAGTGAGCACTAGGGCTGTTCATAACAAGATTCAAACCGACCAAACCAACCAATCCGGTCCGACTTAACTTGAGTCAGCAGCTAGTTTTTCTTCAGCATCGGTCGATTTCGGGTTGCAAAAAAGCATAAATTGACGGTTTGGTTTGGTTTCGGTTTTCATGTGTGAAAACCGAAACGACCCCACCCGACCCGAATCGAGTTATATAACTACTTATTACTTATTACTTAACTAGGTTGTCTCTATCCTAGTTACAACCTAACTTTCTAGTCTTCTCTTTAGTAATGCCATTAATGGCAAGCATTGCAAGGCAAAGAATCCCTAGTCCTACTCCCTACACCTTTACTCCTTTAGAAATATTAGCTTGATAGCTTCTTGCATTCTTTTGGAAAAGTTTAAATAAATGATCCCTACTCTCTAAGGTTCTTTACACTAAATAGGCAATGACAAATAGGTGTCATTTTTTTCTTAGATTAGAAGTCTTCTTTCTCTAATACAATTTGACTCCTTTTCTTGGTAACTTGGTTCACCCTCAGCCCCTCAACTTAAGCACTCTCATTAAAAATTGAAATTTTCTGCTTATTTTCCTTGTCAGAGCTGCAGAATAGAGATCAGACACTTACGCAGTATGTAAAAAGAAAGTCTTACAAGATCAATGGGGGATGAGATAATCCTATAATCCCACCGATAGAATCATTCACAAAACCAACCCAAACCGACTCAAACCGACCAGGTTGGTTTTGTTTAGTACAGGGTCGGTTGGAAAAACACCAGTAAATCGACCCAACCCAACCCAATAACAGCCCTAGTGAGCACCCACAGTACGCATGTGGTTTTTGTGGACTTGTCCGCAAATCGTTTATATTCAAGTTTCTCTAATGCTGAGAAAAAATCGTTGATCTGTGCCTTTGTTGGCATGTTCTCCGCTGTCAATCTCTGGTGGAGATTCGACTTCGACAACCTTGCTGTGGACTCCAGATCATCCGATTCGGCTTCGAGTTCTCTCTCTCCTGAAGTAGCGAAGCCATGGTCTCTCTCCTTTGTCTTCCCGCCACCGCTGCTGCAACTCTCAACAACGGTTAACTCCCTCTCTCTCTCTCTCTTTCTCTCTCTCTCTCTCTCCATCTTGACCACTCTCGACCACTGTTGTCTCTGTCCCATTTGCTTCCTCTGCAAGATTGCAACTAATGTAAAACAAAATGCTGATGTAAAATTAATTATTAATTATTAAATATTTTAATAGTTTTTAAGATATTAGTTTTCTAATTATTAAATATTTTTTAATTGTTTCATAGACTTTATTACTATTTTATTATTATTTTAATTCTTAATAATTCATTTTTAATTTACAAATTTATACATATTTTCCAATTTTATTCTTATTTTAATAAATTATATTTTTATTTTTTATAATTTTTATTTGCATTAATTATTTTAATTTTATTAATTTTTAAATATTTTAATAGTTTTAAGATATTAATTTGCTAATTATTAAATATTTTCTCATTGCTTTATGGACTTTATTACTATTTTCATTATTATTTTAACTTTTAATTATTTATTTTTAATTTATAAGTTTATATGTATTTTTCAATTTTATTCTTATTTTAATAAATTATTATTTTTTATTTTTATAATTTATTCATATTTTTAATATTATTTTTTAATTTAATAATTTATTTGTTATGAAATAGTGCAAATTGAACCCAAAATTATCAAATGGTTTGTTTTAGGGATAAAATAGTAAAATCAGGAAATTTTAGCACCTTAGGCTCTTACCAATCCAGACCTATATATACCAATTTTTAGAGGCATGGTTCAGATTACAACACAAACGAGATCCAATCTTTGAAAAGCAAGTTTTTTAGATATCAAATTCTGTTTAAGTATTATCAATATGGTAGGTTTCAGTGAGCTTTGAGTGAAATAAATTTAGCCCATTACTTCCATGACCATTAATTCAAATGAGTTGAAAAGATTCGGTCAACTTTTACATTTATGAAATATTTTGCATTTATTATCATATTTAGTACAATGACTTAATTCTAGTAAGAAGATAAGGCTGGTTTTGAATGTTAAGCTTATCCCTATGGCCTATATAAACCCCATCAGTCCAGTAAGTTTTACAAAGGAAACAAAATGTTTTCAAACTCTTTCACATTGCAATGGTCGATTCGGGGTCACTGTTTATAGCATTTCATGACTGCTTCTTCTATGGGGGTAAAATCTCTCTCTTTCTCTCTCTCTCTCTCACACACACATGCATGCACGGTTTAATGCAAATTTGATCCACATTTTCTTTGTCTTATGCAAATTTATTTATTTTGAGGCAATTGGTGACATTTATTTGGAGATAATTATGGCTTTTTGTTTCCCCTTTGGTCCTTTCCCATTTCCTTTGCAAATTTTATCACACCCTTAGCCTGTGTTTGGTTTGAAGGAAAAAGTAGGGAAAGAAAAGGTAATCAAACTTATAGAAGGTTTGTAAAGGTTTCCCTACCTTTTTTTTTTTTTTTTTTCCTTTAAACCCAACATAGCCTTATTGCATATATAGTGAAGATTTTAGTATTTTATTATTTTATGTTTTTAAGACCTTTAACTGAAAAGGCCATCTCCCCATGTTGATCTTGCCTTTCTTGGGTATCTGGAGGATGGATTGGATGCGGATTTACCATTTGGTATTTTCTTTTGTATAAAGCGACAGATCTCAAATTCAAACCTGCATTCTCACACTTGTCAACTTAAAATTTTACCATTACACCAAATAATGGTCTTTTCGATAAGAGTCCCAACTAAAGCCCAAAAATCTGATGTTAGGGCATCCCCTAACCACAACACATTGCTGGCCACATTGACCCAATAACACTCTTGCAATTTATATCACCGGCCGGTATTTCCGGTGTGTGGTTGGTCAGCATATCCGAACTCGTCTTGATAAAGAGGATACAAATTTAACATTAATAATAAGGGAGCATGGATTCAAAGACAAAGTTATAGAGGGGAATACATTTTGTCTCTTTAAAAATAGATACATATGGGAGATTATGTTCCTGTGCAGTTGGTACTTGGTGCTTAGTATTATTGTCTTGATTATGTTAGTATTTTGACTTGGGTTCATGCTTTTTCTAATACATATTCAAAATATGGCTCTTTAGACAGGGGGCGTATATGTCCAATGGCCCAACCCAGTAAACATCATGGGCCACATTATGCTTAATTATTGGGTACACTAGATGGGCATATCCCAGCCCACTATTCTTTACTAAGCCCAGCCCAACCTATTAGAAGTTGTCAATGGACTCCAAAAGTCCGAAATATGATTCAACGATTTATTTCATATTATGCACTAATGGACAAAGATACCATACAGAGTAGGAATTGACCCACCGATTCGAATCCTCACCGTTTGATCAATCAAACAGAAGGCAGTAAAATAGCAATGTATACAACTTATCAGAACTCAGTGAGTTAGACGTGTGCAGTGCAGTGCAGATCGCCTGTATTTCACACGACCCCAGAAGTCCAGAACTTCCAACGTCAACGGCCGTCGCCAGCTCCTCAAATTATTATATTATCCATATTTCTCTTGGCGATTGTGACGTCAAAGCTAACGGAATCTCCGTAGACCTAACCGACTGACTGACGTTTTCCGTTAGTTTGACTTCTGTCCGTTACTCTGCAACTTGAACTACTGTAAACCCAACGACCACATTTCTTGATTTGTTCAGACCTTCTCTCTCTCTCTCTCTCTCTCTCTAATGGCGTCCAATCTCCTTTCGAGACACCTTTCCATGGATTCTCTTCCCTTTCGACGTCGATTCCTTTCACTTCCTTTCTAACCAAATAGTGAAATACTCCCTTTCTTTCTGGCTCTACAGAAACCCTAGCTTCCTAGTTTCCTCTTCAATGTGGAAGTGAAGCTCTTGCGTTGGACCCCTCAAAGCTCAGTTTCCCACGGTCATTGCTGAGAGAGATTCATTGTAGGACCACTCAGAGCGGCAATGGCAGCAGAGCCGGAGATGGAGAAGAAATGGGAGGAGGTGCTAAGGAAAATGCTTCCTGCCGGAGCGCCACTGCCGGACGAGGAGCATCTCGATTACTCGATTGCCGTGGAGTACCGGGGGCCTCCGGTGCTGTACGAGGTCCCCAAGGTTGAGCCACTAGACTTCGATTCTCTCTCGATTCGGAGCTCGTCCTTGGTTTCTGTATCGGAGTATGCGCCGGTGGTGAGAGTCGTCGCGCCGGTTATTCTGGCAGCTCCAAAGGCTTCAAGGTTTAATGGGATTCTTAATGGAGAGGGCAGTGGAGAATTGGGGAAGTCTCCTCAGGTGGAGAGCCCAAGGTCGTTGGGGTCCACGAGGGCGCAAACTGAATTTCGGGGAGATGGGTCAAGAGAATTGGATTGGGGGGGTGAAGGAGCAGAGGAAGGGTTGAGTCCTGCGTCATCTCCATCGCTTTGGGAAGGGAATTCAGTATCTGATTCCCCATTCGTTGGTTCGCCAAAGACGACAGTTGGGGGGAGGAGAACTGCAGTGGTGGCATTCAATACTGCAGACCAGTGGGTAGACGAGGAGGATGAGTTGGCTTCGACCAGGTCCAGTGTTGTTGATCAGGAAGTGGTACCAGTTGTGGTTCAAAGGAAGAGAGGTGTTTGTAGCAGGTGTGGGAAAGGGAACATATTGAAGGAGAGGGAGGCTTGTCTGGTATGTGATGCAAGGTATTGCAGTAATTGCGTGCTTAAGGCAATGGGTTCGATGCCAGAGGGTCGAAAGTGTGTGAGCTGCATTGGAAAGCCAATAAATGAGTTGAAAAGATCGAGCTTGGGGAAGTCTTCGAGGATGTTGTGCAGATTGTGTAGTCCTTTAGAGGTAAGGCAGATCATGAAAGCAGAGAAGGAATGTTCAGCAAATCAGCTCCGGCCCGAGCAGCTTATTGTGAATGGCAGACCACTTAGACAAGAAGAACTGGCTGAAGTTTTGGGTTGTGCATATCCTCCTCAGAAGCTGAAACCAGGGAGGTACTGGTATGATAAGGATTCTGGACTTTGGGGAAAGGTAAAAGTAATTCCTTATACAAATAAGGAATTGTTATTCCTTTGTTATGGTTTAAATCTAGTTTGTTGCAATTACATTTTAATAATTGAATTCCAGGAGGGAGAGAAGCCTGATAAGATCATAAGTTCAAAATTGAATGTTGGGGGGAAGCTACAGTCAGAGGCAAGCAATGGGAATACACAAGTATATATTAATGGGCGTGAAATCCCAAAAATAGAGCTCAGGATGCTGAAGGTAAGATTTCGATACAGAAACACTGAAAGACCCCAACATACACATTACGTTAAATAGAAAAGAAAAACTTGATTTGAACTTCTAGATTGCTTTTCTCACAGTGATAGTTAGCTACCTCCATAAGCCTTGGAAGAGGACTGTCATGCTTTCTCTTTTCTTTTATATTTGATATACATTCTTTCATGTACCTTTTTTTTTTATCATAAAACAAAATTTTATTAAAAATAAAAAAGAGAATACAATAGGAAGGTGATAAGACATCACCTGAAAGAAAGAACCCCCCCAAAAAAAAGACAACTACCAACAACCTCCGATGGATCAACACCAACTGAACTGAAGAACTCCATCTAAGAACCTCAGAACACAAAAGAAACCCAGGACCCACAAATCAAGAGCAAAACCATAGAAATCCCTTCTACTTTGGGCTAGCCAATCCCTGCCCACCCACCCTACTGATCTGCTGCCAAACTCAACAGCTCACTCTTCTACATCCTCCAAAACTTCATCATAAATGCTATCATCATCAACAGAAACACTGTCCATTCTTTGTTTTTATTCTCCCAAGCTAAAAAGACTTTCCTAGTGAACTCCTCCCCACCTAAGAAGAACAAACTCAACATCTTACCAACTTGAACCTCCCTGTCATCCATTTTTTCCAAATCAATCCTTTTTCTCCGCCAAATTGTCTTTAACAAACATTGCTAAGGCATCCTCTCTTATCTTCGTTGTGCCTCCTTCAACTTCCTTACCACCCCCACTGTCCCTAGACGAACCTGTCTCCACCACTTCATTCTCTTGAGTGCACATAGTCGACTTACTAGAAAACTTGCAACTCAACAGCTGTTGATCGTCCAAACTCCCCTTCTCCTCAGGTCCCAATTTAGACTTATGCACATCTTTTAAACCTTTTCTTCTGTAAATTCTTTTAAATCTATTAGTAGGACTCGACCCAACCAGGCCTTTAAGGCGTGAGAAAACCCATGTCACATGAACCAGATATGATCTACTCGAACATCTTTACTTCCTACACTGTTAAGTTACCTTCTATCATGAGACTTCTACAACTGCTAGTTGTTTTCCCATTTGAAGTTGCAAATGACAATCTCAGTTAATCTGCCTATTTCTGTAAAATTGAACATGTAGGATATTTGTGAAATCCATGCAAAAGGGTTTTCTGAAACCTACAGTGAGGTTGCGAAGTTTTTAATATCTGCAGAGGAGTAATTAACATATCATGTAGTGTGTGCTGTAAGTTTTATCTATCCTTAAGTTTAGCCTTGAAACATAATCTGTACTTGAACAATAAAAAGAAAAATAAAAAAACAATGACTACTAAGTAAACAGAAATATTGGAGTGCAATCAACAGAAGACCATATAAATGGATAGAAGGGGGAATAAGTGAATAACTCAATCTTAGGTGGGAATCACTCAATCATCAAGACAGGAATAGGGGTGATCATTTCAGGAACCCCTTTTTATTATATAATATATATAAAATTAAACTTTCTTTTTGAAGAGGAACTTAGTTTTTGAAAAAAAAAACTAAAAAAAGGCTTGGCACTTAAAATACCAATACACCTAGGTTCTGTGTCCAGGCCTGGATGGAATATGCATACATATTAAACTTAAACATATATTTCTGTATATTATATACTATATAAATATTATGATATTATACATATCATATACTATATATAGTATTTTATATTACAAGTATAACATATATTTTATATATACTATATAATTTATATAATACACAAAATACATGTAAGGTTGTAGGCCTGGCACAGCATGACCTATAATCAACCCTAGGAATCACTCAACTTTCAAATTAGGGAATGCTTTCATAGATTATCAATGTTGGGTATCTATAGACCTGGGATTCAAAATGTCCTTCATATATTAATTATTTAAATTTTCTCTATTCATGCCTTAGCATCTAGGGCACCCTAAAATTATGTATTGGATCTTTGGATGTTTGATTGTTGGGCTGCATTAGTTTTTTTTTTCAGCAAATGAAAAAAATATTCATTAATTAGGGAACAAGTTGAAAGAATGGTAGGATCCATCCAATGGACGCCATAAAGGTTGCGGAATGGGTGGGCGAATTTCAAAAATTTCCTACCTTCTCCCAACTGGGAATCACATTCCCTAAATTTAGAATATATTATTCAAGGATCCTACTTGAACCATAATCAAACCAGATCTGTACCAAAAGGTAAATGGGAGGAATATACCTGATCCGGAGAAGCACTATCTCCCAAAGTT